TTTTAAGAAAATAATACTAAATTTATTATTTATTTATTTAGTTTTTTCTTTATTTATTTAATAATATAATATTATGTTAATTAACAATTTATTATAAAATAAATATAGTAATTCTATGCTATATTTTATAAAATTTATATTATATTAAAATAAAATTAACATATCAATTAAAATATTAAAATTATAATAAATTGGTAAATTAAGCTATTTTATTTGAAAATTAATTTTATTTAAAATAACTATTTATCCTTCATTTTTAAACAGAGTCAAATTCATAAATTATGCAATGTTTCAATACATAAAATAGATTATTAACATATATTAACTTTTATATACTTAACTATATATTATATTTATTTATTTTGAAATTCACAATAATATATTATCTAATATAATATCATACAAAATTTAATAGTATATAACTAATCTTTAGTTCATGTATCTACTATATAAAGAGATGTTTATCTCCTCCTAAGGTGTGCCACCTAGAATCCACGTTATTAAGTCCACGTCAACGCCATGATTTTGGGCTTGAAATGTTTGGGTTTTTCTTTTTATTTTCTGACTTTTTTTTATTGTTTTGGCCCAGAATTTTTTCTCTCTCCTGACCTAAAGCAGAACTTTTTCACGGGTTATGCTTGGTATGTCTTCTCCTCCTCAAATCTGAACTTTGAATTACGTGGTTTGATTTTGATGTGGTTCTTAAGTTTGGTCGATTCAACCAGCCCGTTTCACTAATTTAAACGTTATTGCAAGCGTCGTTTTGCGTATTATGGTTTCCATTTGATATTGTCTCCTCCATTTGATATCAAGACAGAACCAGAGGTCTGAGAGAGTTGATTCAGCTTCTTACTAACAATCTTTAACAGTTACAAATTCCCCATCTTAAAGTCATTCTTAAATCATTATGCACGATCTACCTTGAATGCGAATTTCTTCATGCAAGGTGGTGGAACTTCGATTATAAAAAGACAAGCATTTCCTATCCGGCAACCATCTTTTCATACCCTCTAACCAAGCAAATAATCTTATATCCAGAAATTGGCTAACACACCGATCTTTCTTTGTGAGACGAATACCAGACAATGCTCTTCCACCGTTCAAGTCCAGTTGCTCCGCTTTTGGGAAGCCAGGAACGTCCGTCGTCAGGGTGACGAACTCATGGGAGTAGATATACTTCGACAAGATTCTCAGGTTACTTTTAAAACTCTGATTCAATTCCTATTTAAAAAAATTCGATTCTACAAATCCTTAATAACAGTTTTTTATGTTTAGATCTTTGTCTGAGAAAAATTATTTATAACCCCTGCTCGACGGGTGGGTCTTGCAGTCAAGCTCGTTGATTTTTCTATAATTTTGTTTTTTCCTTAATTATGTTATTGAACATTCTGTCGTTTTGAATCATTTTACCAAGTTCTCCAGATCATTTATTTGTTTGTTCATTGTATCGTTTAACCAAATTTTCCAAAATATTAATTTGTTTGTTGATTGTTCTTTCTAAATCAAATGTTTCAGGCCACCGTGGATGTCAACCTTGCTGCTCACAGGCCTAATCTGAAGGCGGGTTCAATATATTCCCTACCCGGTTTCGATGTGACCCAGTGAATCAGAATTACGATCTGCTAGACTCCTAATGTTGATCCGTTTCAGTAACTCAACCTCTTTCGATGATGTCCCCGAACCGTCTGCTTTGATATAGGAGTTTAATCTTTCCGGTTCCAAAATCACAGGGAGATGCTTGGTATTGCCAACACAAAGACTCAGCTTCCAGGTAATGATACTCTTATTTTTTTCATTTGTCTAGACGGAATATATAGAAGCCATTTTGATTCCTATAGGTGGAATGTCACACACGCCAGCTTTGACGTTTTTTGGTATCCACTTAACGAAGTAGGACTGGAGAAACTCTGGTTTGTGGTAGTAACTATGAAATCAATGTTGGATTTAGTGAAAACGAACAAAGAAAAAGCTAACAAGAAGAAGAAGGACAAGAAACAAGAGATTTTGATGAACTAATTAGTTAACTTGTTAGAGAGATGTTTATAACCCAGCTGCTGTAGAAGTTTGAGTCATGTGATGATGGTTATAACTTATAACTACTATAACTGCTACACTGTGTAATTTTGGGTTTCTAGTTTGAGTAAAGAGCTCATGGTTATGTTTTGTTGTATGCAGTTGACAAACCCAAATATTTTCTAACCAGTGGTCCACATAAAAGGAGACTTAAGTGATGGATATAGACGATGAAGGTCAACTAAGGAACGTGTTTTAGGAAGATGTTTTCTCTTTGAGTGTCTTGCATTTATTTTGGTGACATCGATAATACTTATAATATCCGAAAACTTCGTCTATCATGGATAGTAAGCTATATTATCTTCTCATACCATTATTTTCTTTTTTTCTGTATGATTTAGTGATTAATGGTGGGAACTATGTTTTCTATCATTGCAGTTTTTAATATCTGCTAGCCATATTTATCTTATGAGAGTTGGTAAATTTAGATATTAACAATTACTGGTACATATACACTGAGTAGTCACAATTTTATGTCATGTGCACTCTTTTTTGTTTGAGGAGAATTATTTTCTCTTGGAGGAGCTGATGTCATACAGTGCATTTTTTTGGGTATTTGCTAATAATTTGGAGTGCCAGTTTTAGTGGAAATTTTTTTTTGGTAAGCCCTTCAGTTCACCCAAAGCTCACAGAATAACCTTTCGATGTTACTGAATGATGATTCATATAATTCACCGGTGGGTCTAGACATAAACGGATTTATCCTTCATTCTATGGAAGAATGATACTTCATGTGGCTTTGTAAGCCCTAACGAATTGCTTTCTTATGTTTCACTTTTCTCTAAAGAGTATCTCATTTAAGGTTTCTCTGATCCAACTCCAATACAAGCTCACAGTTGCCACAATGTGTGCGCCATAAGAAGCTAGGAAGCTTTGGTGATTGTGTTTTGGAGTTAAAAGGGAATTATATTATTTACTTGGCTATCAGATGTTTAAGGCTATTGTTCACAAAATAGTTTCCTTTTTGTTTTATTAATTTCCAAAAATAAAAGCTACAGCTAAATATATCTTCTCAAAGTAACACATATATAGGGAAGAAACTATCCAAATACAATTATGAAGCTTCTAACTTAATTTGACACAAATAAATCAATCTCAATTTCTTTTTGAAATAAAAGGATTATGAAAAATGTAATTGATCAAAAATTATCTACACCATTACTCAAAATAAGTTTCAAAACATATATTTCGTACTAAAGTTTGTATGTAATATATTTAATTAGTCAAACTCTAAGTAAGAAATTTACTTATTGAACAATCTTCTGAACATTTTTTCATACCAAATTAACAATAAACATATATATATAAGATATCTGAACTACATAAAATTATTGGATCTATAAAAATACGAGTACTACCTTATAAATATTTTTTCACATAAAATTAACAGAAAACTTATGCATAATATATTGAACTATGTAAATTTATATCACAGAATCAATTTAATAAAAATAACAATAAAAACCTTAAATAATATATATTATATAATTTTATATATTATTTTATACATTTAATGATTATATATTATCCATATATAATGTTTTAATAAGTAGTAGAACAAATATTGAGAACAAAGAAAAGTTATTTAGTTTCCATAAATATTTTAGTTTTTAAATAACAAATTAAGAGATGTTAATAAAATAAGTAATAAAAGTTTCTGACAGATATAATGAAATATAGTGATATGTTTAGTTTAAAACAAACAAAAAATTTATAAGTAATTACACTTATAACATACACAAAATTATCCACAATCCAATCATTTTGAATCCAAAATATTACATGCTATAAATAACACACCAAATATAGAATCATTTTTTTTTGTAAAAAGAAACAATATGAAAACATTTTGAAACCGTTAGAACATATTAATGCCACAACTCTTTAATATAGAAACAAATATTGTAAACAAGCAAAATATATATTATAACATATAATCTCTCCTCACTTGCAACTTTATAAAAGACAAAAAAAACTTATCATACACATTTTTTACAAATAAAACGTAAAATATAAACCACAAAATCATACAAAAAAAATTAAATAACAAATAAATTATATCCCGCCCGTAGGGCGGCTCGATCCTAGTTATAAATATACTAAGAGAAAATGTTGATAAACAAATAATTCATTACATATATTAATGCAAATGCAAGTTAAGTTATTAGTTTAATATCATTTTAATTATAACAAAATTTGTTAAAAAATATATAAAAATCTTACCAAATATTTTATAAATAATGAATTAATTTCGTATCAAAAAATTCCAAAATCATAATCTTTTCAGAAATATTTTCTAAATTTCTAAATTTGTATCTTTTCTGAAAGAAAGCAAAATACATATAATATTTTGTATCTTATATCTTAATTTTATAAAATTTATGAGTATTTTCAGATCAGTCCCTTAAGTTTATAATATTTTTCAGGACAGTTTTGATGCGCTGGTCCGATTTGGCTTCTTACTTCTTTATTTCTGAACGGAAACAAACATAAAACCATGATTATTACGATGGTACACTAGGGTTTTATTTCTCCGATCACACATTAGTACTTCTACTTAAACATCACGGGACTATAATACCATAAAACAGCATGACTTTACTCTGTTGTGTTCTGTAACTTGTTAAAGAAAGAGAGCATCTCCTCTGAGACTTGTTTAGACTTCTCTTGTTGGATATAATGATGACCATCTTCTATAACAGCAATCTCAAGATTAGGTACAAGACTCTTGAACATGTCTCCTTTTACATACAGCATCTTTCCATGTTCTCCTTCATTGCCCATATCTTTGGCTCCAAAAATAAATTTTGTTGGAACAACTATTTTGGAGTCTTGCCACGGTGCCAATATCTCCCAGTTCCTGAAATTTCTCACTTCAAACCTTATGTCTAAAGACTCAAAGAGAGAGAGAGAGAGGTGAAACTCACAGATCCATGGCTCGGTAGTAGTTTAAAGGGCCAGTGAATCCAGATCTTTGAAACTTGTCTGCATAAACCTGAAGCTCATCTTCTGTTATCCAATCTGGAATCGTCGATGGTATCTCAAGATCATCTATGATCTCTGTGTTAGGAGGAGCCACCAAGTAATCAGTTCTTGTTGTGAGGAAGAACTTCTTCATAACCGTCAAGATATCATGTTTTGCAAATGCAGCCTCAGCTCTTCCGGGTTTCTTAACAAGCAAGTGAAATCAAGGATAACAATGAGTGGTACTATGAACATAGAATGTGATTTCAAGATTTACCTGAAACTGGGAGATGTATAAACCATCTCCAAAGCTTTTGAAAAACTCCAAAGGTTTGAGATTTGGATGTCTTGGAAAATATGGAACAGAGAGGCTTATGAAACCTTTGACTCGGTCTGGTCTAAACAAGCACAGAAACCAACCTATGGTTGCTCCCCAGTCATTCCCCGCCACAAATGCCTATACATTTGCGCTTTTAATATATAAATTAGAAGCATTTTATCAAAAATAAACTCTGAGAATGTGTTATTATTGACTTATTATCACTAAGAAGTCTAAGATAAGATCATAATAATTCATCACCACTGACCAACACGATTAATAACACATGATTTTGATAAGAACGTTATAAGATCAATGATCTAATAACTCAAAAAAAAAACTAGTTGAGTTTTCAAAATCAGTTAAAAAGATGCTAGTCAGAGTTGATGAGAGATCATTTTCACCTGAGCAGTGCCGTAGTGGTCGAGCAAACCGATGACGTCAGCAACAAGGTGGCTCACGGTGTAAGACTCGTGGCTTGGAGGAGAATCAGAGTCACCGTAGCCTCTGAGATCTGGAGCCAGTACGTGGAAGCCATGGCTGGACAGAAAGTCAATCTGGTGACGCCAAGAGAACCATGTCTCAGGGAAGCCATGGAGTAGCAGAACCAAAGGCCCTCCGTTGTCTCCTCTCTCTGCCACGTTTAAGCTAATCCCGTTGGTCTTGATCCTCTGCTCTCTCACTTGTGTCGCCATGATTCTTGAAAGAGATAGAAAGAGGTTGAGTAAAGACTTTTCTTATTACAGAGTTGAAAATATAAGAGATCAAAGACTTTTCTATTTAGGTTACATGTGGCGACTCACTTGTCATTGTCATGATCCAGAAAAAGACATTTCTACCGTGGACAAATAGAACAAGAAAGACATGAGTGATATAAAGACTATTGCATCTGTGTTTGTCTTTATTTTGCCAAGACCACACTCTGCTTCATGAAACAAAGAAACACATCACTGATTATTAAAAGACCATAAACGTTAGGTTACTCTCGGTTCTGACTAAACGGTAGACAAGAGTAAATCACGGCAACAAAACAAAGAGTAGGAGTAAAACCTAACTCAAAAGAAAAGAAAGAGAGATTTATTCTCTGTTTTTGGTTGAATGAAATAAAATTCAAGAAGACATTGATTTCTTCTTCTCTTCTTCAAGTCGCTGAAGCTCAGCCAGCCTTTCCTCCCAAGCTCGCTCCCTTGCGACTTTAGCCATCTTACGTTCCACTTCTTTGATTCTCTTCTTCCTTTTCGCCTCTTGCACCAGCGCTTGCCTCTTCTTTTTCTCTGACTGTGAAAAATATTCAATTCAGGATGAATTCATCTCATAAGAAAAACACATTGCTCATTTGTAACAAAACATAGCAGATTGTTTTTTGACAATAAATGGGAGAAAACAGAGATTCAACATTTAAAAGAGTCTTCATAACACCCTAATAATGTAAAAACATTGTTTCGTTAGAAAACATAACAGAGAAGAAAGAGAGATACAGTCTTCCAAGAACTCTCTTCTCAAGTTTGTTCTAACCCTAATAATGTATAGACATGCAAAAAGACTTGAACATTTCTTAAACTAAACTTGAAAGAAACCAAGACATACCAGTATAAAGGCACGTCGTTGCCCTATACGCTTCTTGGCATTCCTTCTTTTGAGACTACCCTTGTTAGGATTGTTCGAAGCAATTGGCTCGCCAGGAGTATACTGAACATATGCATAAGGCCCTGCAATCTCCCTCAAAATCCGTTATTCATCATCCCAAACAACCTATTCTCTGTCTCTCTATCAACTTTTTCAGTAAAAAGAACACTCTCAAGAAGCTTAGCTTTAACACATCCACTTAAAGTAACACAAGATTCATACTAAAACCCTAGTTAAACCTCAATGAAGAATATACACTAACTCAATTTCAATCACACAACACTCACTCATCCCCATTTTCACAAACAAAAAAGCATCAATCTTTTATCAACCTTTCCAAAAACAACACTCTCAACATTAACTTTAACACAATCACGTTCCAATCAAACCTAATTAAACCTCTGTAACGAATACACTAACTCAATCTCACTCATCCCCATTTTCACAAAAACAAAGCATCAATCTTTAATCAAATGAACCTTAAATCAAAACACAAACCTGGAGGTTTGAGTTTGAATCTTTTCTTCTTGGGATGACTCATTGGCCGTCTCTTCGGGAGACGAGTATCAGTCAAGCTCAAGCTGTAAAAATGGTTAACCATTGGAACCCATGGTAACCTCGATCCACTCAAGAAGGAGCATAACTCGGGCTTCGCAGAAGGAATCGCCGCCGGAAACGGCGTGGAGGAGCGGCTAGCGGCGACACGAGAAACTAGGGTTCTCGACAGTGGTCGGAGAATCGATCTAATCGCGCCGAAACCCATTTCAGCAAAGCATTCAGTAGGAGAGATTGAGATCCAGAAGCGGGCTTTTGGGTATCTGATAGATAACGCTTCTGACTTTCACTTGGTCGATGCCAAAGGTTGGGACTTGAAACGAAGGAGGAGAGATAAACCCTGAAAACCACTGTGACCGGTAATGGGCCTATAAAGTGTAAATGGGCCCATGAGTGGGTCTGAGAAAGCCCATAACACACGCAGAAATTATGGATTTTGTATTTTTAAGCTGAATAAAATTTATTAAAAAAATCAAAATATGAAGGGATTTTTAAAAAATTTAGTAAAATACTAATAGGGATTTAAGGTACATATTTTTGTGAATTTATATGATTAAATATTCATAATGATCTTTGTATATATCCAAATCGCTTTAAACCCAATAGATCATGACTTTTCTTTTGGTGATTTTGTATTCTGGTAAGGCTCAAATCATGTAGATCAACTTATTGATAAAATATGTGTTTATTGTTTAAAGATATGGAGCTAAAGAGAGACTTGCGTCCTAATTTATATACCACTAAAGAGTTTTGGATCAATTATGCCACATAAGGAAAGCAAATATTTTACCATTAACGACACTTATTCCAAATGTGAAACCCGTTATGTAAAACATAGATATGGTTACCATATTTGGTCTAGATTTAAAAATCCAGTATTGATTGTCGAAACCAATATAAATATATACACCCTCTCGTTCATTTTTTCAAAGGAAAACAAAACCTTTCAATTCATACAAGTCCATATAGCTTCTTTTTTTTTGTGACGAGTTCTTCAAAGATGACAAGCATCTTTTCGTCAAACCGTCATACTACAAGGCTGGTCCGTTTTCAATCTGCATCATTACATACCCATAATTATTTTTTCCATATTGCATTTTTTTCGTTTTGTATCTTATTAAGATTATTTGAACGTTTTCTTGCAGACTTGTGGGTTCAAAGTGAACACTAGCTCTCCCGAATGGCACAAGAGCATGACAAAAATTCTCAAGAAAATCAAAGGTTGTATTATAGACAACACCATCATATTATCGTCTCAATACCAATTCTTTTCTGATTATGTTTTGTTATGATTTAGGAGGAAACTTTTGGATAGACGTGGACGAAGGAATGGCATACGTAACGGGTCAAGGCGACCCAAAGAAGCTACTGAAATTGATGGCTTCAAGGAGAGGCAAAGACGCTGAAATGGCCTTTGTGAAAACCGGAACACATAATCATTCCAATTTTGGCAACAACTATCAAAACTCTTACTTTGGCCAATCAACGCCTTATTGGCCTGGCGATATGAACAGCTACCATCCATCATCGTCTCACGGTTACTACCCTTCGGCACAGCCGGTGATGCAACCTTACCAACAACAGTTTCCATATCCGGGTGGATATGGTTACGGTTATTATTAAGGATTTTTGTAGTTATATTTTATATAACTACATATTTCGAGATCAAGCAAAACCCTTCTTTTTAATCAAGGGTTTTCTGCTTGTATCCGAAATAATGTTTTTTTTTTGCTTTATTTTATGTCAATTCTCTCTGCGACTTATTAGTATCAGCAGAAGAGGATCAAGAGAATTAATTCTCTAGTTTGTTTGTTTGGACTTTTTTTGGAACTGATTCTTATCGTTTTGGACCTTTTGTGTTTTTGTATGAATTATTCATTGAAGTTCTAAGTGATTTTTGAAGTTTGCATAATTTTCCACCAATTATATAGATAGTTATGAACATGTTTGCATCCATAACCAAAAACGACTAACCACTAATCTTTTTCATCTTCATTGTCAAAAAAGCAAACCCTCTTAGATTTTACATGCATTACGAAATAACGTCTGAGGTGAGAACGTCGTTTTTCTAATACACATTGATATGAATCTAATAAAAATATTTCTAAAATGAAAGGCCTCAAATCTCTTCATGCCCCCTCCCCCCTCCCCTAGCCACACGATCAAATTGCCATTTCGTTATTTTCTTCTTATTACATGTGCCCAAAGTAAAAATAAAAATTTATCTAGATTCGCTCCTGCTTGTGACCAACTTCATAGCACTGGTAGATGGAATTGGAAACTCATCTTTCTTGGCCTCAGCAACTTTATACACAATCACTCATCAACTATGGATATTGTTGTCTTTGAATCTCATTAGATCCTTTGTATATTGTCAAAGATATAGTATCACGTGGATTTAAAAAAAAAAAATCATCACGAGACTTATGTCGTGATTTTATACCATATTAAGGATTTGGATCATGAGACTACCTTATAAAGGAAGAAAATATTATACCGTTAACGACAGTAATTCCAAATATTGTACACTTGATCAATATAGATTTTTTTTTAATGTGAAATATAGATATTACCATATAGCTACTGATTTGAAAATTCAATATTAGATTTTTTTTTTTTTTTTTGGATAGATGTGGTCCAAGAGGATGAAGAAATGGTCGTACGGGCAATTGAAACTGATGGGTTCGAAGAGAGGCAAAAATGTTGAAATAGCCTTTGTGCAAACTGGACTAAACATCAAAACTCATTTCCTTTTTTTGTTTTTTTCCTCAAAACTCATTTCCTTCATCATATTACGCTTAGTTAATTACTTTTCATGCATAAAGCTTCCATGATCCATTTGTCTGAGAACGTCCCCACTTTAATTTGAGGATTCAATAAATATATCCGTTATCCAAACACACTCAATGGTCTTATAGAACTCCAGATCCTGGACTGCCTTAAATTTGAAAACTGTCTTTTTGTCACATCCATTGTGAGCAAGTAGTTTCTTTAGGACAAGTGTAGAAAGTATTTTTCTAAAACAGAAGTATGATTAAGCCAAAAAAAGAAGCAAAAAATAACTGGATAAACAAAGGAACATAATATCTCAAGGGAAAATAAAAAGCAAATAGTCACATTCTGATCAGATGTGATTAAATAGGAAGCATCACAACGAAGGGGGAACAAGTTATAACATCTCGAGAGTAAATGAAAAGCAATTAACCCAATATCTTAAGACAAAAGACATGTGAAAAGCTTTGGTTAAGCCAAGTGTTTGGCAATAGTAGATTGAAGCTCATCTTTCTTGGCACCAATAACTTTGTCCACAATCTTCCCTTCTTTCATGAACATGAATGTTGGCATCGCCTCAATCGCCCAGTCACTCGCCACTGTCTGTTGCATCATAAACAAAAATAGATTTCTCAGATATTTTACCATAAAAGTGTTAAGAAACTATCTCTCTCAACAAAAGGAGATGAATTAAGAGAAAAATCGGATGATATATTTTTTCTTACCTTAAGTTCGTCAATATCAACCTTGAGGAAGATCACATTAGGGAGTTTCTTAGCCAAATCAGCAAAGAATGGAGCTATGAAACGACACGGTCCACACCAAGAAGCCGTGAAATCAACTACCACCTTCAACAATTTAACCAACTCATCAATCATTTCATTTGAAAAAAATGTAACACTACAACGGTAGAGACCAATCATGATTCATAACAATGTTAAAACTACAATAGGTTTGTATCACATATAACATAGTAATGGTGTATTTACTTTTCTGGGTAGAACATTTTTTTTAGTGTCGTTTAGTTTCATAGAAACATCAAAATATCGCTTCGAGAATATGATAATATTCTTATAACCCTAGAATCTAATCTGTGGTAATTCAGATTCAAGAAAGAAGGAAAGATTAAAATGCTGTGTAAGTATAGATACGTCCTATGTTGATTCAGATGGATTCAAATAGGAAAGAATCAAACGTATTGTATTGCAAGACGATGATATATACAGATCGAGAGACTATGAAAAACAATTCCAATCAAATCTATAGGATAAGAGGTTACAAGAGTTTTGGAGTCATTGCCCTTTTGGAGTTGTTCGTTCCATGCCTCAACGGTGTGACATGCGATCACTTGTCCTTCTTCACCAGCCATCTTTCGCTTTCTTTCCACAGATCTTCTCTCTGTCTCTTTTGTGTTCTGTTTATGTTTCTCCTCGTCCTTTTTCAAATATAGTAAGCATATAATCAAGTCACCCAAAAATTACCAATGTGCCATCAATAATTTTTTTGGTCTCTTCTTTATTTTTGACGCGTGATTTTATTTCCCATAATTACACCCACTCAATATGCAACCTTTCCTTCTTCACTCAAAGCATAAATATTCCCACTTTCCTCTTACAACTTTTAGTTTCTGACAGTTTACACCCGTTTATAAAGTTTTAACTCGCAAAAAAAAAAGAAAAAAAAACAAATTGGTGACCAATACCTTGCCATTATCTCACAGTCAGGACAAGCGCGAATGAATGACAACAATAACACTTTTATGTTACAACAATTTTGTCAAATTCGAAGGCGACGGCATCGCTTGTATTTATGGTCTTGATGAAGTAATGGCATGCCATTGGTAATGATTCTACTAGATGCCACAAATTCGCGAATTTTAATTTACAATCCAAATAAACATTAATAATAATATTGTGTGCCTTTTCTTAGTGCACCATCCCATGCATGTTGGCTCGTTCTCATGAGTGTCTTTCTTGCTCGTATCTGATCTCACCGTTAAACATACATGAACCAGATGAGAGATATGATCCCTTATATATTAAAAAGAGAAACATTTTTAAAGAAAAACTTTATCTTCATGAGTGATTAACAAAATTGACATTATTTAGGTGACAATCTCACAATCATTCTCAGTCCATTTATAAATATAAACATAATTTATTAGAGTATTTATAATTCAGTACTATTAAACTTATGTTTTCTTATGATATAATGTTACATCATGTTACCAATAACCCGTTTATAAATCTTTAAATTTTCATTTAAATGTTGAAATACCTAAGTTTACTGATTCATGAGGCGTACCCTAATTTCTAATATTATAATTCGCCCTATATATATATATAGCTAAGTTTTGTAATTTTCTGTAACATATATATAATTATATATAGATATATATATATATATACATATATATAGCTATGTTTCAACCATATTTTGACTAACTTTTCCTTCAAACAGTTCATATTTAATAGCATTTTTGTTTAATTTAAAATAAGACGTATATATATTATTTAGATGAGCTCCCCTAAAAATGCATTATTTTTATTAACATTTATATTATAATATGATATGATCTGGTCTAAGCATATGTTATTTATTCAAAAATTGGGTGAATATAAATAAAATATAATGTCACTATTCACCTATGGATTATAGTCATATATGGATTTTGGAAATATCATAATGATAGATATTATAACTATAAAATTTGAATATTTTATAGTACGGATTTATAGCATATATTGTTGATCCCATAAATATAGTCTCAGTTATGGGCAAGCTAAAATTTAAGGAATGAATATAGTATCTTTTGTGCAAGAATCAATCTAAATTGATCTTGTAAAAATTGGTTAACTCTGAAACCATATAAAAAAAAAATCTATATTAACTCAAATAAAAATACACATCAAAAATTCACTAACATAAACTTATTATTGGCTTAACCATATGTTAACAGAATATGTAAATATAATCGGCATCAATATATTAATTTAATTAACTATGACAAAACTTGGTTTGAGGAGCTCGACCGTTATATAATGCAAAGGGAATCAATACGAATCTCTCTAGATTTAATTTGGTTTCCAACCTCAACCATTATATGATGCAAATAAATAAATGGGAAATCGACCTTAAAATTTAAATAAATGGCGAGGGGATTGATGTTGTTTTTGGATATCGTCAGACAATAATATTAGTTTTCTATATTAACTTGATTCCTTTTTATAACTTTAAATTTAACCGTAATTTATGCAATAAAATAAATTATTGGAAATTAATATATGCAATCAACATAATGCAATCCGTTTTCGGTTAATATAGGAAAGTTACTATTAATTTATACACAATTTTCATGATCAATTAAAAATTATACACGAAATTTTGCCATTAATCTCGCGATAAAATATTTGATTGACTCAATTCTTGTGGCCAAAATCCTATCAGTTATGACTATATATATCATACTCTATCTATTTCACTTTAGTTGTCATTTTAGTTTTTTTGCATAAAGATTAAGAAAACATTTAATTTTATATATTTTCAAAATACAAACAAAATTATATATACACACCTAACCACTTTTCAACCAATAAAATATCATATCAAATTAATAAATTTTGCAGTAAAATTATAAAAACACATATTTTAAAATAAAATTGTATTCTACAATGACATGTTAATTAAAACGGAGGGAGTACTAAACTGTAATCTAAGGTAACACAATTTACAAATTTCAAACTAGGAAATAATATGAATATCATGAATTTCATCTATAACTTAAAGCCAAAGAAACCTATGTGGAATATTAAGAAAAAAGTTATAAGATTTTGGAAACAGTACTTGGTTACTATTGAAGAGACCAATGAATTAGTTTTTTTCAATTTTTTTATTTGTTTCTTTATAATTTGTTTATTTCCTATTTTATTACTTTATTACACATGTTTTGTTTTATTTTATATTCATAATTACTATTAAGAAATCAATAAATTTTTTGCATATATTTCGTTCTTTCTTAAAATTATAACTAATTTTATATAAATTTTTGCTTATGCTTATAGATTTACTTCTATGAAATATACTTCAGTAAATCTAACTAACAAGCTTTTAAAAAATTGAAGTTTATCTTATATAAACATATGTAATTTTGTTACATCTTTCACTATATAACATGTATTATGTATGATTATAACACTTATATTTTAATATCTATAGCTTAAATGTAATTATTTTTAATCCATTTACTCCGCGTATGGAGCGGATTATCACCTAGTTCCTTATTATTAAAGTACCCAAGGTAATTTCTTTTTTCCCTCTCCATATTTGAATAGATACGATAATCAACTTGTTTGGCTCCTTGGTTTTAAAGTAATCCTCTAGGAGGATTATATATCCACCGTGAGAGCATGATGAAAACGGCAGGCTGTTTAGTTTTGAAAACGTCCAATACACTAACACGACATCATTTGGACGAATACTGACCTGAGAGATTCTCCTTCGCTGACTAGTCATCACTCTCGCTCTGGGGATAGAGTGCAACCTACTGCTTCCACCTGATGAAAATTCGCCACTGATTGATACATAATTAAATAAAAGATGAGGAAACACGATTTGGCGTTTTATTGAGTATTGATATCTCAGATGGAATTTTATTGATTATTGATTTTGCGTTCAGAGAAGGATGGTTCCATTTGTACGATGATCACCCAGTCAAACATGAATCCGATCGTCTGCCAATACCTATCATAGCTGATCTTAACGGCGATGGAAAGAAGGAGCCCCTCGTTGCTACAAATGATGCAAAGATTCATGTTAAATTAATGATGGATCATTGCTACGAATGATTTTACTATTACATGTTCGAACCAGTGCTAAAAACTCTACATTTGTGGTGGATTAGGTCTTGGTGCCTCATTCCAGATGCGTGGATGAAGGTTTCGTGTTCTTGCTAAGATCACTCTTTTGCCTGACAAGATCTTGCGTCTTGCGTTTTACTATTAGATTGTTCTTGTGTGTTTAGAATCACATGGACCCATTTGAGGAACTTGGCATGACAGAACGAAATGTCGACCAACACAGAAGAAGTGCGTCTGAGAAACAGGTACGGAAATATGTCATTATCGCTTTCATGGACTACTTCTGGTTGCGCATTTGTCTAGAACTCAATGATAAAGAAAGTAATCAAGAGTTGTGTTTTGAACTGCTTAGATTAACTTTAAGCCTCATTATTTTCAGGGCTCTGGAGATTCTGGAGCTGTAAACTTGCGTCACTTTTTCTGTTTATGCATTTGCTAGCCGGACTGGTGTTTTTCGATGGAGTAAAAAGTCTGATGTCAGTTATTTCTCCTTTCTTTAAATATTTGCTTAACTCGATTCTTACCTGCAACAGATTTGCTGGTTAGGTTGATAGAATATTGTTTTTCCTCTCTCAGATGCATCACTATTAATTCCCCAACACAATTACAAGCTCGACGTGCATTCTGTAAATAGCAGTCACCTGGGAGAGGTAAAGTTAACTCGTTCTCAATTGATAACTAGGAGATGTAGTTAACATGTTATAGTTTTGTTTTAAGAGATCTTATTTTAAAAAACTTTGAAAGTTGAGATATTCTGGACTGAAATTTGAATGCAGAGAATTCAAAGAATCAATTCTTGGTGTTGTGCCACATCACTGGGTAAGCCTTATGCTTCCTACAACGTGTTTCCTTAGTCTAGCATGCCTTGAAAAAGATGTTTTAAAGTCTTTATATCAGGACCGATGAGAAGACACACTGTTGAAGCTTTCTCATTTCAGGCGGCACAAGAGGAAAACATTGAAGAATCAAGCTGGTAAATCTACAACTCCTCAATCTCACAAACCTGAGGAACACACACCCGCTGAAAAAGACTTGTCGAGGAAGATTCTGAAACTGATCGGGAAGGCTGCACCGCTATGCTAGCTCAGAAAAACCCAATAAAGGTGAAGCGTTGTTATAAACACGTAATGTTCTCAACTGACAATTCCCATATTTGTTTATGATAGCAGAAAACCTGTTGATGCAATGCATACAATACATACCGACCATAACTAACAACATTAAGCTTTTTTGGCTTCCTAATGTGGCTGTGGTCCTCAAAAACAAGAAATTGAAGCTATTAATTTGCCTACTGGTCGAACTCTTTGCAAGGTAGTGATAAGTTCTTACTTACCTTCTTCTGTATTCAACCTGTAAACTCTTGTAAACCCACTCTTAGAATCAATAAACGAATACTTCTATAAACTCAATCTCCAAATCCGATTACATAAGTACAGAAACAATACCGAGAAGCTATGATCTCATAGCGATCATAGAGAAGGTCTCATAGCGACTCTTCACACAATTCTCAGCATAAAAATAAAAGAAAATGAAACCACAAGTATTTATTCGAATTCAAATTCTTCAAACGGTTCTGTAA